CGCAATTGGTCTCTTTAATTCAATCGTAATAGCTACAACAGTAAATTTAATTAGCCAAAATTGTGATATATATATATATGTATATAAATAAGGATATGGGTTAAAATAAAATACAACCAACTTGGTAAACTACCTTGATGTTAATTTTTTAGTGAAAAACTAAATTCGTAATTATCAGTCAAAAGTACCATGAATCAAAACAGAGGCGCACGTAGAAACACGCTAAATTTGGGCTTATATTAGTTGCTAAAACTAAAAATAAAAGTTAATGAAGCTTCAAAATATACACGTATGTATAATTTAACCTTTCATCATTGTGGTTTATGGGGAATTTATGATACTAGATATTATGCCAATGTTTATGTTGACGACAACTCGAAAAAGTTGTTACCAACCCATAATTCTTGTAACCAGTGAACACCTTTAAATTATTAATAACAATATTGGATATGTATCAAACCCATATATATATTATACATATATATATATATCAAGTACATATATATATATCATACATATCAAATACATATATATATATATCAAATCAATATATAATATTTTATGATTTTTATTAAATAACCAGGCTTATGGCGAAAACTCAACTAAAGTGATTAAAGTACACGACAAAATCAGAATTAATTTTATATTTATATAAATGTCCCCGAATTATAAGAGGTTAATATATAATACTGCGAATATAAACTTAATATATTATGGAAATCAGGGAAAAAACTTATATGTAGTAAATTATGCTTGTATGAACTTTATGTATCAGTTCTAGAAAAAAATAAATTTTTTGCTCATTTTAATTTACATGCCTAAAATCCTGTCGACTTTGAAAGTTGGGACAATTTGAGTCAAATTTACATTTATTGGAATGCATTATTGGCAGAATACAGCATTGTTTGGTAGCATCATTTAGGGTTGATTTCTATTTTAGTGCATTCCTTTATTTTCTGTCAACTTGGTGAATTATTGTCAAGTATAACAACTGCAATTTATTACAGGAGTTTTTTTTCTTTAAAAATATACAAGATTTTAATTAATCATAGCTAAAAAAAATAATAAAGTTTTTTTCTCTCGAATTGATGGACTTTTGAGAGGAGGGCATGAGAACCACTGCTCTCGAAGATGAAAAACAATTTCATTGAAGAGAGGAATTCCTTTTTCAGAGATGTCTCATCACCCATCAAGTGTGCAGTAAATCGTTTTCTTAGGTGTAATTCGAGTTTCCATTTCATCCTGGAACAGCCGAATCGATTCCCCGTGTAATGAAATGCATGGCAGAACAAGGAAGGGCCGGTGTAGGCGTCGAAATGGCCGTAGGTGTAAATCAGTCAATATGGTAATGAGGGCGGACGCACCCCGGTCATCAAAACAGGAGTTTTTTCCCGTTTTCCCTATTGTCATTTCTCATGAGTGGTGACAGGGGAAAGTTGACCCCCGGGAGTTGACCGCTCCCACGTTTCCGAACTTCTCTGGGGCTTCTGCTCCCCCACTCATTCAAACATCAGGTTTCGGTGGCGCTTCCCCCCAGCTGGAACTTTCTGAAGTGCTGCTACTCTGCGACTTCAACTGTTGTGTGTCACGGTAAATTGGTTTGTGTTACTGACGCGTTTTTCTCAAAACTGTGTTTTCAAACTTTTCTCCATCCTATCTCAAGAACGGTTTGACCGAAAGACTTCAAATTTATAGGGTAGACTCAGCACATATATACACACCAAATGGAGTACGATCGTTCCAAAATTTTTTATAGCAAAAACATAACAAAAAAACCCCATGAAATTCGAAAGTTTTTCTTCAGAGGTCAGAGCTCTATAACTCACGTTCTGTTGGATATTTTTGGCTAAACATTTATATACGTACTCTTAAAATACATAAAAAAAAACGATGAAAAACTTAAAGTTCTATCTTTTTACTGGTCATCAAAAAAAAATTCCCTAAAAATGCTTAAAAAACAAGCAGTCACATGGGTGACCCCCCCTTAAATAAACAGTATTTAAATATATGAAGAAATCTAATTTCTTTTTTGCTCATCCTTTTTTTAAAAAATTTTTAAACTATCATTTTTATACCGGCGTATAACACACACGTATAAATTTCTATCTTATTTTTGAGTTAAAAGTGCTCATAATAAGCTGGAATATACGTACGGTACTTTCTTGTACACAAAAAAATAAAATATTGGGAGATCTAAACTTAATTAATTGAAATAAAATATACTTGGCTATGTATTACCAATTGCAGTTAATACATAAATCTATACAGAAGAGAACTTCGAGAGATTTTAAGGCTTCAGAACACTATTTCGTGCTTAGTTTAGTTGTCCAATGATTGAAGATCGAAATAAATCTCGTAGCATAGTCACGGATTTTGCGTTCTTCCTATTATGGGCTCGCATGTCACTGCCAGCAAAAACTGTTGAATAGAATAATGGAGGCCTCCACTGGTTGGCGTTTAATGGACCTCTTAAGTTAATAAAGCACAGAAACTTGGAGAACACGACATCATCTCCCACTTGTGTTAGTGACATGCCCGCAATACCTGATTACGAAGTACAACATCAGCAATCCGTTATGTAATTTTCAATTAGAAAAAAAACAGACAGATGTATATATTCACTAGTTGTTGGAAGTGATTCATAAAGAAGAAGAATCAAAAGGGGTTACAGTTACAACTAAGAAATTGTATAGAAAATCTAAAAAAACAGATCTTCGCCTTGATCTTACCCAAACATAAACACAGTATCCGTTGCACGGTAGAGTCAATTAACATTAAGCATCGGTAGCCGTGAAACGTGTGAAAAAGACTTAACCCTTTCCCGGTGACTTCTACGACCCCTGACCCTTTCCGTGCAGTTGGAAAATGCCCCTGATGGATCTGCTGCAAAGAGTCCTTCTACCAAATTGCAGTTCTGTTAGAGAATAACAATAAAGAGGCAAAAATAAGAGATGCCTTTGTGGTGGTAGTAAAAAAAAAAGAACTAGTGAGTATTTAAGATAAAGAGTTCTTGTCTTGGGGCATGATTTGAATCCATAATGCTGTTGATAGAGTTCGCTTCGTGAAAAGTTTATCGGCGATTTCTAATTATGCAGATGAATTTGTGGAGGAAACAATCAATCGATGGATTGAAAGCTGGGAAGAAATTACTTTAGTCTTCGGCTTACGCCGTGGTTAATGGAATTAAAATATGTGTATGTGTGATTAGTCCTTATTATCCTCTTATGTGTTTATGTAATTGAGAGGAGGCTCAAGGCCCCTTGAATTATCCTTTGGATTCATGCATATATAAGACGGATATGGAATGTCGGTATTTTTAAATTGTATGCATAGTTAGAATCAAGAAATAGACATTTAAAATTTCCGTGTGGTACCGTAAAATTTGTTTTTGTTTCAGAAGCTAACTACTTAGAGATGTATATCTTTGACTTCTAAGAATAACTTTGGCCACTTGAAACGGTTGCCTCAATTGGTTTAGGGTTTATATCATTTGTTTTTATCACGGAGAAGGAATTGAATAATTGTAGTTATTCACAGAGGTGAATTGCTTAAGCATGTTATTTTAATACAGAGGGATTCATGTATATATGTCGCTTATGGAATGCAGACATTTTTAAATCGGTTGCCCAGTCAAGGGTTTTTAAAATTTCCATGGTACCGTGAATTTGCTTAAAAGATGGAGATTAGAGGTCGAATACTTAACGTATGCATCTTCTTAGAACATCTTATGCTGTATGAAATTACCTTAGGATTTTGTAAGATTTTCTTGTAGAAAATTAATTGAATCGCTATCATGATACTGAACATTAAATTGTCTAAGTATATTATTTTAAAGCAGGGTCTAGAACATTTTCTTTTGCTTGTTTGGGTTTGGAAGTTCAAGTAATGGACGAAAACGATAACAGCTTTGATGTTTATTTTTTTTTTTCAAGTTTTAAATCAAGTTTATGATCTCCAAAGAAGCGAAACGGTATTATTTATGAATTTGTTTGTAAATGGAAATGTTTTGTTTCTTGATTTCCCTCTTTCTCTCTCACACTCTTTACATAATGGTCCTAATTACTACAGCAGGAATTGTTATTACTTTCTGAATGATAAACAAAATATCAAGCATGATCTGAAAAGGATTAAAATTTTTAACAAGTTTTCACTTTTTATATATTTTTATAATTTTCTCTTAATTTCCCCCTTACGTAATTTAAATTTAGTTCTATTTTTTAAAATTTGTATCATTTATAATCTCTATCTGATTTATTCTTTTTTCCTTTATCCAGTCTCTTATTTCATATTTATCAAAAATCTTTTCAATCCTATTTATTGATCTCACCTGAGCAAATAAATTTTTGGCAAATTAATACATTCAAACCTCTGAGCAATAACTCTAAGATACTGAAGCTATTTTGAGTCTTACACATAGCTGCTGTTTTTATAAAATAAAAATTAAACTGGTATAACAATAGACATTGATACTGCAATATCTTTGATATTGATTTATAATGCACGAACTACAACGCAACAACAACAAACTAACTAGTAACGGACCATATTTCAAAAAAATTCTTTCTCCTTATTGAAGCATTTTATTAATGGATATTTATTACCCCCCGATATTTATCATTTTGTCAAAAAGGTTTTTTAAACATGAGAATCAACTCTTTTTTGAGGCAACGACTACATGGGTTTAAACGATTTGACTAACTGTTTCTGTTTTGATGTTAACAAGTAATGCAAAAAAAGGAAGAAATATTCAATTCAATTCCTACTTAGTTCATTAAAGAGAAATATTATTTTAGTTACTTTTTATTACAATTAGTATAAATATGTATATACATATGCCAGAAAAGCAAAATTAAGTGGCAAAATAAAAAGCACGATCTACCATTTCCTTTTCTATATATGGTGTTGGACAATTGTTTTCGTTTGCTACTATTTATTCATTAATTAAATTTAATTATTCCAATTAGAATAGTAAAAATAAATCACATTCTCAGAAATTAGGCCATCTCAGTTGAGATTCGAATTTAGATCTTTGGATTTGAAGTCCAACGCGCTATTCATTGCTCTACAGAAACACAAAGAGCGATTTACCTTTTATGTATATGGTGTAGGACTATTATTTATTTTTGTTTCTTACTATCTATTCATTAATTAAATTTAATAAATTAACTAATATTTGAAAGAAACTTTATGAACATCAAGCGTCCTCCACTGCAATGTTAAAAAAATGTATTTGAACTTGAGCGGATGAATAAAAAGTATTTTATTAGCGATTGAAAATTTGAACAAGATATATATATATATATATATATATATATAGGAAGAGGGTGTGAACTAATAGTAGGAATTGAACTCACAGAACTATATTTAGATGGCTGTAATAAACGATGGAAATGACTGAAAGCTGCATCTTACTTTATTTCAATAAAGGCGATTGCAGTTACTCCTCTAGCTCTTACTCCTCATGGTTATTTCATAGCACAGTTTTGTATAAAATTGAACGTTTTGTTCATTAAAAACTCTGTTTAACGTAATTGAATTTTTTACGGGGCGTTACCGTGACAAAAAGCTCAAGTTCCAGCTTTTTATCTCGACTGTTTTTAATTAATTACTTTTTACATGCATTCCAAATGAATACGCCTCTTTGAGAATTATTGTAAATCATTTCCTGCTGTTGATCAAATATTCATCTGTCATGGTCTTAAAGGAAAAATTCGATTGGGTTTCACCAATATTGCAGAACATATTAAAAGAAATACTTGAATTTAAATGTTTTCCCCTCAGTTCGTAAGGAATTAATCGATAGAAATATACCTGAATCACCTACTTCATTTATTATATAAAAAAGGAATTAATCTGGGAACCCATTCAGCTAATTAAAGCAATAACAAGTAATATAAAAGAAATTTTAAAATCAATTCCTACTTTAGTCAACAACGAAAAATTTTATTTTAGTTTTTTTATTAAATAATTACAATTAATGTAAATATGTATCTGTTTTGATGAGGAACTTAAGGCTTTACACAGATATCTACTTTCTTTCAATAATATATATATAACAGAATCACAACATTGAGTGGCAAAAGAAAGCGATTTTCCTTTCAATTTTCCTTTCAATATATGGTGTTGGATTATTATTTTTGTTTGTAACTATTTATTTTCATTCATAAGTCTCATTCTCAGAAATTAGGCCATCAGGTAGGATTCGAACACCCAACGCGCTTATCTATTATGCTACAGGGATACAACGAATGATTTTCCTTTCTATATACACTGTTGGACTATTATTTTTGTTTGTTACTCTTTATCAATTTTTTAAATTTTAGTAATGAATTAATATTTGAAAAAAAAAACCGTTTTAAAATCAAGTATCATCCACTACAAGTTTAAAAAAATGTATTTGAACTTGAAGGGATGAATAGAAAGTATTTTATTAACGACTGAAAATTTGAACTATATATATATTACAAAAATATACAATAAATAGTTATATATTTAAGATAACTATAGTCATGATAGAATAGATTTAGCTACAGAAATACTAGAGCAAACTCCTAGCCTTAGGAACCAGGAATGCAGGTTTAAACAATGTTTTTCGGCCAGCCAACTTTCACCTGAATTTGCTAATACTCTGGGCCATAGGGAAAGAGCAATAAATTTCTAGAGAAGTTTAACTATCATTATAAATAAAACTATAATCTATTAATGTAAAATGATAATATTATAGCCTGTAATAATTACTAAAATATTTAAAACCAAAGTTAAACTATTAGATAAAGACTTACCACGTGAGCAACTCATATTCCCCGGCTATAGACAATAACAGTATCGCATAAAATTATTAAGTTTTGATAAAATAGCATTAATACTATAGTTTTTTTAAATTTTAGTAATGAATTAAAATTTGAAAAAAACTATTTTAACATCAAGTGTCATCCACTACAAGTTTATATATATATATATATAGGGAGAGTGTGAACTATAATAGTAGGAATTAAAAAATGACTAAAATTGTTACTCTGCATTCCATGTTGAAAAATCTCCGAACTATTTTGTTCAAAAGCATATTAGTATTATTATATGTTCTTTGTTTAAAACTTGGCTCTGCAAATCATAACATCGAAGCTGTTTTGACCATGTATAAGTCCAACGCATTCATTCTTCTGTAAAAAGAAAAAAAAATGGGGGAGCAAAACAACATGTATTTCTGGAAAAGCCTCATCTTCGTCCCTAAATAAATAACGAGTGGACGATGATCGATGATTACAAACCCAGTTACCTGTATCGATGGAGAACTATCGATTAGTGACCCTTTGGTTACAGCAATTTCTCGAAAAACCCTTTGAAAGTTTACGGAAGCGAGACAAAACGCACTCAGTCCACCAATCCATCACAGGGTGTCAGGCTTGGATTAATGCACATAATTCGAGGTTTAGGGCGGGAGGTCCACGGTGTGTTCACTTTTTTTCTCTTTCTTTCATGCGAAGTGTTTTCAAACGATCTTTTGCTATTAAAGAGGGGTGGAGTGTAAAGTCTCGTTCCTGGAGGTATTAAAAATGTAAAGGGTTTCAATTGCGGTGGCTTTTCTCCGTTTAATGGAATATCATATATTACGTAAAATGAAATTTGAATCCATTCGCCATGGACTTCAAGAATGAGTGATGTGGGTCAGGGTGTGTTGGGATTGCGTGGGCTCATTCGTAATTTGGAAGCATTTCCAGAAAGAGTGCTGGGAGGATTTCCCTAAGTCTTACAAATTCTGTTGACACATAGGGATTTTTGGAAGGGAAACTGAAGCTTAAGGAAATGAAATTCCAAAACCCTGATTTGAAAATTTTGAATATATGCCTGAAGAAAAAATCCAGCAAATTTCTCGGAAATCTCGAAAATAAAATTAAAAATTATTTTTAAAAATTTGATATACCCTCCCACCCCCTTCGTATATGTATGTAATAATTCACCCTTGAAATCTTTTGCCGAGGGATTTTTTAAAATTCATTATGATCTTAGTCCTCCAAGATAGGATAATTAATATAGGATAGTATGTAGGATAATTAATTTTTTGTTTACCCACCTAACGGGAAATATATTGTTAAATACAGTTTAATCTCTTAAAAACTACCACTTTAAAACAAGATGATGCAATACTGCATCCTCCACATGTTCTGACTAATCACTAAAGTCTTTACTGGAAATCACGATTCTAAAAGGTACCAGATGAGAAAAATTATAAAAGTTGAGATCTTCGAAATGAACAAAGCATGCTTTTGTGAATCGTATTAATGCCCGCGTGTCTCTGTGATATGCTTTATCAGTTTTTGTTGTGTGTTTTAATTAAATAAATAAATGTGGATTTTGGAATACTAAGAAGCCTCAATCCTTCTATGACTGCATATATACGTACACAGAGAATTACGTTCATGCGAAAACGCTTTAGACAAAATATCGATTAACACGAAACAACACAACGGTCCCGACAAACTATTATGTAGTTTCATGCATTTTTTATCTTAACACGAAACGAAAATCGCTTAACTCGAAAAGATTTCCTTTCTGGGAATGAACAAATTACGAAAAGCACCAGCCGGATTGGATTGTCCTATTGTATTACAGGAAGAATTCATTGCAGTAGGTGATGAAAACGTATGTACAGCCTCAATTATAACAGGCAAAGACATTTGGAATTTGTTCAAAGGTTAAAAAAAATATCATTGATGCAGATTCCGATGACGAAAATGAAACGAATAGTACAGCTCCTGTTCCCACGTCATGCGAAATGTGGAACGCCATGAAAAGTATGTGAAAAGTATTTACTGTGAAATTTACATTCTACTGGTGAAATGAATAACAAAATGGACGATTTCGAACAATTTGCTGACAATTCAATGGTAAAAAAGAATGTTAAGGAAAATATCAAATTATTTTTCAATAAATGTTTTTTCAAAAAAAATTTGAAAACTTTGTATTAAATTTCTTTTAGTTCTTGTGAATGTTTTCGTTTCATCGATTTTTATAAAATACTATGAGAATATACAGAAAGTAAATAAAATAAACTCTAATAATTTTGTTGATATAACTTTTTTTAATGCAATATCCTTCAACACGAAAAAATATTTCATTCCCTTTAATTTCGTGTTAAGTGATTTTTCACTGTACATGCTTATTCTACTTGCTTGTATATATAAAGATCAGTTTTCGCCACTTAGTGTTGCGTAACAAAAAAATACTTCAATCGAGTGAAACATTAGAAAAAGCTTTTCATTACCAAAATATATTTTTTTAAAATTAACTTCATTACTGGTGAAAGCAGGCCTAAATTGCTGCATAAACGAAATTGAAAAGTGGTTTACTGATGAACTGGTCAATCTATGGATAGCTAATACAGTAGTTACATTGGAGGTTAGTAAAAAAAACCAACCAGTTTTTTTCTTTTCGAAAACCATTGGTGAAAGAAATGTTCTTTATATTTTAATTATTCTAGAACAAGTAACAAAATTACTTTTTTTAATTGTTGAAATTTAGCATTAGAAATGTGGTTTTAAAAACTCTTTGTAATCCATCTCACACAAACTAATTTTATTTTATTTATTTATTTCGGAAGTAAGACCAATATTTATTGTAATCCATCATTTTAGACACTGACATGCCAAAATACCAAAACCTTTAATTAAGATTTTTAAAACCGAAAAGGAGTTGGAAAATAAACTCATTTACTTAACTAAAATGAAAAACATTTTCTTGAAAGCATCGAATTTGTGAAAATTTTCCAAACATTTCCTTAATTTTAATTTTTTTGTGTAAGTTTGATGGATTGCATGCAAAGCAGGGCGTGCAAGTCTGACTTTTCGTTCCTTTCAACAAAAACAGGGTAGAGTAACAAATTTAACATATCCTAACTTCTTATAATTAGAAACGGCTTATTTTTGCCGAAACGTTTCATTGCGAAAACCTTTTTTGTTTATCAAAGCAGTAGAAGTGTACTTTTTAGGTAATTATCTGGCGAAGGTTTTAGGTTACGAGAATCTACGTTTCGGGAATTTTAAATTCTCGAAAACGAAATTTTTCACAATTAGTG